CCTAGCTTCACAATAACAATGCGCCGAGCTTCAGCACTCTGGCCTGCGCACGCCGATATGTTCTGTCGCGCGCGCGTGTCCTCCACATGTGCCCTAGCGTCACAATAACAATGCGCCGAGCTTCAGGACTCTGGCCTGCGCACGCCGATATGTTCCTTTTCGCGCGCGTGTCCTCCACATGTGCCCTAGCTTCATAATAACAATGCGCCGAGCTTCAGGACTCTGGCCTGCGCACGCCGATATGTTCCGTCGCGCGCGCGTGTCCTCCACATGTGCCCTAGCTTCATAATAACAATGCGCCGAGCTTCAGCACTCTGGCCTGCGCACGCCGATATGTTCTGTCGCGCGCGCGCGTCCCCCACGTGTGCCCTAGCTTCATAATAACAATGCGCCGAGCTTCAGCACTCTGGCCTGCGCACGCCGATATGTTCCGTCGCGCGCGCGTGTCCTCCACGTGTGCCCTAGCTTCATAATAACAATGCGCCGAGCTTCAGCACTCTGGCCTGCGCACGCCGATATGTTCCGTCGCGCGCGCGTGTCCTCCACGTGTGCCCTAGCTTCATAATAACAATGCGCCGAGCTTCAGCACTCTGGCCTGCGCACGCCGATATGTTCCGTCGCGCGCGCGCGTCCCCCACGTGTGCCCTAGCTTCATAATAACAATGCGCCGAGCTTCAGCACTCTGGCCTGCGCACGCCGATATGTTCCGTCGCGCGCGCGCGTCCCCCACGTGTGCCCTAGCTTCATAATAACAATGCGCCGAGCTTCAGCACTCTGGCCTGCGCACGCCGATATGTTCCGTCGCGCGCGCGTGTCCTCCACATGTGCCCTAGCTTCATAATAACAATGCGCCGAGCTTCACATGGCCTGCGCACGCCGATATGTTCCGTCGCGCGCGCGCGTGCGCGTGTCCTCCACATGTGCCCTAGCTTCATAATAACAATGTGCGAGCTCGCTGACGTTGTTAGGTCCATTTTAGGGGGGCTGAAGCCCCTCTAAAATAATCACAAGCCCCCCTATCTTTTTGAGTTTTTTTAGGGCTGGGACTTTAACGCGTTATTTTGATTAATTAGAAAAAAAACAACACGTTAAAAAAAATTCACGCATTTAATCGCAGCTTGCATTTCGAGCACGACGGAACCTTTGTCATTGCACGACTTCCTCGTAGACAGAATATCACTGACGCACACAACAATGCACAGTGCTAATGGCTTCTAAAACGAAAAAAAAAAAAAACGGAAAGAAGTTGCCTTGCTTGGACTGATGCAGGATTTTGGAAACACGTCTGCCTCTTTTCTTAACTTGGAAAAAAAAAACTCCCAGACAACAACGGAGTCCGTGTCACTGACATTTTTCAGAGATCGTCTCTGCTTCGGCTGCCCGGTGGCACAGGAAACTTTACAAAAGTTGCGGTAAGCTATATTTTTAACATTTACGTAACATCTGTGCAGCGCTGAAAGCACCAGACAGAATAATTCTGTGCCCTAACAGTAGTTTATGAAAGTAGTCAGACAAACGAGAGGCACCTGGCTGCCGCTGGGAGAACGCTCCGTGTTCTCAATACTCTGTAAACAATCACAGACAACGTTAAAGTTGAAAACAGAAGTTTAAGTTAAAACAGACACTCTGAAACTTTTCTGATGATTTTCTAAACAATTCTGTCGGGGAATTCTATGTTTCTGAGACGAGTCTCTGTCTAAACATCATCGCATGCATTACTATCATTAAGCAGCAGGTTTGTTGAAGCTGTCATCAGCTAAGGGGTGGATGCTTACGTGTATCAGGGGCAACGAGAAAGTTGTGGTCAGGCTGGAGATCACACCACATTCGCTACTGCAGGTGTGAATCTGCGGGTCTGCAGTATCCCCGTATTAACGTGACATCAGGACTTCCCATGTAAGGAAGGTCCGCTCACCTGTTCGTCAGATCGTTATTTCCTCGCCATGATCTTTTATCTTCCTATCATCCTCCAGTCATCCAACTGGAACCAGTTAGTGTTCCTGATCATTCCAGAATATGTCATGCCTGCTCTGGTGTTAAAAGTTAGCACATTTAAGTCCTAGTCAGGGGTGTCAAACATGTGGAGATGGTTGTGTAAACTTTATTTTCCTACTTTACAATGTAGAGTGAAAATAAACGTATCTTTGTGAGCAAGTTTTCTCTGTAATGAGTACAACTAAAACAAAGCGGCGCTCAAGGCTCACACAAGAACTTGAATCACATCCTGAAGTTGGCCGCCACTCAGGATGTGACTTCTGATATTGATGTGCTGGTGAAAGCTAAAAGATGTAAAGTAAAATGAGTCAAATATACTTTAAGTGCTGCATGAAACTAATCTAGCCATGTGATCTGTAAGCTCTTTGAATCGCTAAGGAATGTTTTTTATTTTTAATTATTTTTCAAATTTTCAAGTACACTTCAGGTGTTGTACTTGTACTATTTTGGATACATTGTCCTCAGGCTCCAACTTTCTTTTATATTGATTGTATTAAAACAAAGAAAACAATCTGAAGTTGTTTTTAATTTACCGGTCCAGCCAACTTGGGACTAGATTTCCCTCAATGTGGGCCCTGAGCTAAAAGGAGTTTGACACCCCTGGCATAGATCATATTTGTGCCTGTTCTACTGTCATTTTGAAGGATTATTATTTATGTGTTTTTACTACATTATGAGTAAAAATGCTGATAAAAACTCCCAATCATACAAACAAGTAAAACTGGAAAAATTAGAATCTGGTGCAAAGTCAAATTTATTTCAGTAATTCAACTAGACAGAGAGACTATTTAAAGGCCCAGGAACCCTTTGCAGGCGTTTCCTATTTGTAATTATACATTTTAGTTGATTTGGGTTTTGTTTCATATCACACAGTGACATTTGATTAATTAAAATGCATTTTTTATTAAAAGCTTTAGTTTTACAGTAATAACTATGTCTAATGTTTAATTCTCTGTCTCATAATTTTAATTAAGTTTTGCTTTGAGAGCACATTTTACTGAACGATTAAAATGCAATTAATTTAGATTAATTAATTACAAAGCCTCTAATTAATTAGATTAAAAATTTTAATCAAGTCCCAGCCCTAATTTTTATATATACTGTTATTTTGTCTTGTAATTGTTAATTACATACTCCTTTATTCCATATCATATCAGTGTTATTCATATATTAAAACTGTCAACTGCACACTCATTTGGCAGAATAAAAGTTTGACAATTATTCATTTGTTCTTTGTCATATTTCAGTAACATTTATAATCAAGCAAGTTGTAATTAAACAAATTTAAAAAATGACTGCAACATTTCCCCATGTTAAGTGCAGTAGACTGAAATGAATAGCTTTATTTGGAAATATAACATATCTAATTTTTAATGGACTTATATAAAATCTTTCTTCAACATAGACCCCACTAATGAACTGATTAAGTGTTATTTTTATAAAAAGAAGAGAGAAAATGCACAAAGGTAGGAAAGGAAAAGAAAGTGATAAAAAATAGGTTTTGTTAAATGTTCTTCAGATAATGAATTAATTGACAAAGTTTTTGCAGGGTGTGAAAAAAAATTTCAAGGTCAAGCTCCTGGGGCTAAGCCCCCCCTATATCTCAATCCTAGTGACGTCCATGTGTGAGCTTCAGCATTCTGGCCTGCGGACGCCGATATGTTCAGTATTTGATCATTTTTAACGATGTTGGAGGAATCTGAAGGTGGCGAGCCATTCTGGCAGATTGTAATTAACACCTGTCTCATGCAGGTGTTCTGACATTGTAAACCTCACACACAGAACATTGTGGATGTAACAAAATAAATCAAGAAATGATTCCCATTCAGGCTATTAACAGCGTGCTGAAGATCTGAAGTTCAGAGCGCGTCTGTCAGAGGTCACAGGCGTTCCAGTGGAACCACGGCTCACGGGTGCACAAGTGAGCACATCTGGGCTGGGCAGAAGTAATTTTACAAAATTGGTTTAAATAGCACCAATAACGAGACGCGGTGACTTGAGCGGCTCATGGAGCTGTGCCGCGTGCGCACACACACACACACACACAGATTCAATAAGCGCGCACGCTGCGCAAACTCCGGCGCGCTGTCAGACTGAAGACAGAAATGAACGCTGCCTCCTCCGTGATAAAAACTTTTAAGAGGTTTTTTTTAACAACATTTTTCATTCAAGGTCAAATTAAGATATTAGCTTCTATTTTGGGATGACGTATTAAAGTCGGGTCCGCTCCAGCAGTGACTCCTCATGAACCTGACTACAACTCATGTTACTGCAGCATTTGTTGTTCCAGTCCGCGTGGCAGCGGATCGCAGATTCAGCCACAACATAAAACAGCAATAAGTCTGTCTGAGGCAAAAGTGAACGTCATGGCTTTTCCACCTTTTCCCGTATAGACATTTGATTACGCACAAGTAGGTGATCAGCTCAGGTTTACGCAGAACAGAAGGAAGGAGAGTGCTCTGGCCGCTCAGGTTAAACGTTCCTACTTTAAGAAAACCGTTAAATTGCATTGTTTATGTGCTACCTGGGCACTCTAAATATTTATTTAAAATTAAATCAAAGGAAATTGTAATGGTATCGAATGTTTATTAATTACTATTTAAAAAAAGAAAGTGATGGGGAAAAAGGTCGATCATATTTTTTTAACCCTGTCTGTTTAGCTTGACGTCTGATATACATATATATATATATATATATATATATATATATATATATATATATATATGGCCATGCCCTGATGTGGGGGGTGGGGGGGGGTGGGGGGGGTGCGTCGACATGGTCGGGACATAGCAGGGGGTGCGCGGCTAAATAAGTTTGGGAACCACTGTCGTAGGCTACTGAAATTTGCTCCCTAATTGCATTAGAGTGAATCCACCACATTATTCTGGCTGGGGCAGTTTTATACGGTGCCTACTGGTGATTTCTGTGAACAGCTATGGAACTGACTGCCTCAAAAATGATGATATAAAAATTATTATTGTTGTTGTTACACTGAATAACCCAAGTATCTAGGACCTCAGAGCAGAATAACGGCGTATCTTCAGATCCTGACCACGAGTCCTTCAGTGAAGTGGAGTCAGAGACAAATGACAACTATGTAAGAAATTTCCCACAAACTTGTTTAAATTTATTTTAAAACACCTTTCCAGGTGATTGTAGGGATGCAAAAAATACAACCACCTCTGTTTTTTTCTTTGTGTTTGTTTTCAGAAGACTGAAGTTAAAGTTGTCCGTCACGTGGAATTATACGTATCATTGGACGAGATTCCAGAGAGATTTCATAAGAATCCTAAAGATCCTATCTTCTATTTTCAACGAAACCTTAAAGGTGACATAACTATTTCACAGTAAATCAAAGTTAAGTTGACATTAAAATTACAGACAATTAAATTAAATCAAATTTTACTTTGTAACAGAGACTATTGTTCACCCAGTGGACATGAAAGAAGCCAATACTCTAATGACTAGGTTAATAGACATTGGTATGCAGAGTGGAGATCCGCTTGAGGCGTTTCGAAGGCAACTGCTCCATGTAAGTCCATAACAATGAAACATTTGTTACATCTGGCTCTTGGTAAATAATGGTGTATATTTCTCTGTCACCTTTCAGATTTATGTACCCTGGTTTACTGCTGAAGCAAGACCAACAGCTGCCCCAAAGAAAGCTCCTACTGATCTGCCACTTAAGGGTCGTCATTCGGTGCTCACCAGTGTGCACAAATACCTCGGAAAGCTCAGTCAAACAATCCGACAGATTCATGCTCAAGGTTTGTTTGGTTCACAACAAGAAAATAAAGGGAATGAAAACAGAATGTATTATTGAGGGCCAGAAATCAGGAAATAATTTGAACTGAGTAAAAAAAAAACATTTTCATCATGATGAATTTATTCTGAGTACAGTTGTCATGACTCGAGGTAAGTGCCTAACCCAAGACATGCAGAATCAGACTCGACGAGTAGGTTGAGTAAAAGAAAAGTTCTTCATTCAAAAAGCGGGAAAAAAAATAGCACAGGGAAGTCCTATGGGAGATGAGCGGTGCAGCTCGAGTCCATGTAGCGCTTGGGGTGAACAAGGGAGGCGTGAAAGCCGAGGTGAGTGCTGGGCAGAGGGTGAGCAATCCGGGATGGGTGAGGTAGCAGAGAGGGACCAGACAGGAACAACGGAGGAGGATGGGACGTGGTGTATGTAATCCAGAGTTCGAAACAGCGAGGGTGAGGCAGGTTGTGTGAGGATCCTGAGGGAAGGCAAACAAACACCAGATGTAAGGGGTAGTCCCAAAACGTAATCCACAAATCAGTCCGAGGTCAAAATCCAAGTAATCCAAGAGCGAGTCAAAGCAAACAAACAAGTACAAATGGCTGTATTTGATGTAGCGCCTTCTAGAGTCCTGGAAACCCCCAAGGCGCTTTACAACACAATCAGTCATTCACCCATTCACACGCTGGTGGGGATGAGCTACGATGTATCCACAGCTGCCCTGGGGTGCACTGACAGAGACGAGGCTGCCAAGCACTGGCACCACCGGTCCCTCTGACCACCACCAGCAGGCAAGGTGGCTTAAGTGTCTTGCCCAAGGACACAACGACAGCGACAAACTGAGCGGAGCTCGAACCTGCAACCTTCCGATTATGAGGCGAGCACTTAACTCCTGTGCCACCGTCGCCCACAAAAGTACAAGTACAAGTGGCTGGGGCTACCTAAACTGGTGCAATCATCCGGCGTTGTGAGGTGCCTCCATCCTCCTTTTAAACCCGAGTTCCTGATTGGGAATCTCCTGCTGCTGCAGCCCCCTCCGCTCCTCACCTGTGGGAAATCAGCTCAATAACAGTTAGAGTGGAGATGGTGTCACTCACCTCGGCTCGGGAACATGACAACAGTGTCTTTGCCCTAGGTGAAATTGTACTCCAAATTCCTGACCTGGACCTGGAGCTGGAGGTGAATGTCCTGCTGAACAGTCCTGAGATAGTAGAGAGGTTGGAGCAATGTGTGATGAACTGGCAGACTCAGATTACCACCATTATGGAGGAACAGCAAAGCAATCAGCCAGAGGTTTGCAATGATCCATCATTCATAAAATTACAACATAACTGATCGTTTCAGGGACTGGAGCACATTTCATCACTCACATGTCAAGAAAAGAACATTTTTCATTCCTCTAATGATTTGGTAGAGGAGGGGAAGGGTTAATTCAGTGATAAATCTGGGAGAAGTGATCACCTGTGATTCTCTTTCAGGTTCCTGGACCTATTGCAGAGATAGAACTTTGGCGGGACCGTGCTTCTGTTCTCAGTGCTCTGTGTCAACAGCTCAAACAGCCGATGGTACAGAAGATCCTGGATGTCACGACTAAAGCAAATCCAGCCATTATTCACACCCTCAATGGAACCATTGCTGATCTATCTAAATACCACTCAGAGTCAGATAATAATGTATTTTTCCTTAAGACGCTGGAAAGACACTTTTTGGTGAGTAGCCTTGTTTCTTTACACCCAAGTTTTTCTGAACAATTGAACAAGTAGGCGTTGGTCCATTTGTTGTGGCATCTCCTCCTTTAGAGGCATCTTCTCCTTTAGACGTGTTGTTGTCCTTTGTAGAATTTGGCTGCTGGGTCAGATTTTACCATGATGAAGGAGACTATCCCTGAGATGATGGAGAGCTTACAGATCATCTGGCAAATCTCTCGCCACTACAACTCAAACGAACGTATGGTCCCTCTAATGGAGCGGATTGCGTGGCAGCTTTGTGAGCAAGTGTCTAGAGGACTTCATGTTCTGAAACTGTTCAAGTATGCATTAATGCTTTTCATTTTATGGTTGAAAACAGCTCAAAAGTAAAGTTTTGGTGCTAATTTGTGAAAACAATATAATCGTCTATTCAAATGGATTTGCTGTTTAAGTCTAACAAAACAAAACGCTGTGTGTTGAACAGAGTGAATAGGGAAGAGGCCTATTCCATGGTGCTTTGCGCTAAGAGTGTCCTGGAGCAGTGGAAGTCATCCTACTATGACGTGCGCGCTGCAATTGAAAAATCAGGCAGAGCACCTCGATGGGAATTTGATCATAAAAGACTGTTTGAGATCAGCGATTACATGGCGTCTGTCTGCCAGGATCTGTGTTATGTGTTTCAGGTCAGGCTATTTATATTTAGTGAAACTCCAAAAGTTACTGGCCACTTACACAAAAGCCATATTGTAAATTTAGAACTTTTGACAAAGCTCTTCTGGATTTGGGGTTTTACAGGTGCAGAAGGAATTCCACAACTTCTTTGACCCAGACATGAAAAGTAGGGAACAGATCAAGGAAATGTTGATCAGACTCGATGGTCTAGTTTCACTTTTTGAGGAGGTCGAGTTTGATCCTTTCAACATCTCAAAAAACGGCAACTGGAAAAAGGTCATGCAAGACTTTGACTCTGCACTTGGGGTAGGTCCAGGAAATGTATAACTAGACCAGTTAATATTCAGCATAATTGAATGAAGAAAGGTGGATTTTTTTTTATCAAGCTTGTTTGTTTTCTCACTCAGGTTATCGATGAAGAAACGATTGAATTTGTCGATTTGGCTTTTAAAACTGTGCATTCGTCTGCTGCTGCTTTTGAAATGCTGCTGAAATTCCAACAAATCCCCTTCAGAAAGTCCATCAATGACCATTTGAAACGAAAGTTTGATGGATTCCTAATCCAGTATTGCAATGAGGTACTGTACAATCAAAATCTACAAAAGCTAGAAAAACTAAAATATGGGGATGAAAGTATTTTGCAGTATGCAGAGAGTAAGTATTTTTGTTGCTGCTACAGGTTGACAGAATTAATAAAATCTTTGATGCAGACAAGGGCGTCAGTTTGTTTTCAGAATTGCTGGGGACAATAACCATACACTTGAGTGGGGTTTAAAAATTGCTGGGGACAATAAAGTAGGCTAGCACAGGGGTCGGCAATCCGCGGCTCTGGAGCCGCATGCGGCTCTTCCATCCATCTGATGCAACTCTCTGTGCTTGTAAAATAATAAATGGATATTTAAATAAAATGCTTTATATTTTACTGCATTAATTTTACACCTGTATGCCAATTCTAAATGTAGATTGTCTGCGTAAACCTGAACAGGTCCAACCCGGTCTGCGGTGGTTGACCGGTCACGCTTGTGCGTAATCATATAGGCACTTTATGAGCTGAAGAGGATGTGAGATTCTGGGCTTCTCCTCAGACGGCTCCTGGATGTGTCGCCACATTGGAGCCAGGAACAAGCACTATTCAGCCAAAGTTTCATAATCAGGGAACATTTTCTAAGTGACAAGTCTCTCTGAGAGACAGGGTTTGGAAAACACTCGTGGGAGGAATCTTCCCGCATGCGCACTGCCTGGTTCTCTGCGTGGCTCTGGGGTTAATCAAGTTTAATTGTTTCTCTTTGCAACAATCTTCACAGGAAGGCAAAACAGTTAAACGGCAGGTTACATATATTTCCATTTGACTGTTTATTTTGACAGATGAACTCAAGGATGTTGCTTGGTTTGAAAAAATTACCCCGACGCACACGGATGCTCATGGATGAGCTGACATTTTGTTAACGCACACGCGGAGGTAAAATATTCCCATCAGAACATCAGAGCTCTTTATACTGGACACTGTGTTCAGCGCGGCTCGGAGCGCCCCCGGTGGACAGTGAGCTGAAGATCTGGGGTTCCAGCGCAGTGCAGAACCACGCGCATGCGATGATTTCCTCCCACTGAAGCGTTCAGGAAACCCGGTCTCTCTGAGGGATGTGTCACTTGGAAAATGTTCTTTTTATGAAATTATGAAACTTTGGCTGAACAGCGCTTGTTCCCGTCTTCCGCATGAAGCGTAGAGACATTTGATCACGCACAAAGTTCATGTGGAGCAGAAGCGGTCGGGCCACGGCAGATGAAACGTTCCTAGTGAAACTGTTTAATTGTAACATTAATGTGTTACTGGACACGCTGGTCTGGTTGGTTAGACCAGTGTTTGAAGTGGAAAACACACACACACACTCACTCACTCACTCACTCACTCACTCACTCACTCACACACACACACACACACACACACACACACACACACACACACACACACACACACCAATTAAAATATAAAATAATGCTGATAGCGTGGACTAGAAGACAGGTGATGGTTTACGTATTTAAATGATGATCAGGCTGCTGTAAAATGTATTCTCCATCCACATCCAGACACAATTATCCTCTAGTCTTTCTCTAGTCGCTCTGCTCTTGTCTGGGCTGATCAGCTGATGGTGCGCGCGCGCCTAACTAGCGGCTGATGCACATTTTACGCATTTGGAGAGGTGGACTGGATGCTGTGCGTTTACTGGAAGATGGTCCACTTAACGCACGGGTGTAGACTACATATTAATGACAAATGAATGAAAATTAAATTGTGAGTTTTTACTTCATATTTTATTAATAAAAATGACGGGGGAACACATTTATGACATCTTTTTAAACGAAATTTTCTAGCGCGACCTGCCTGCTTCACTTAAGTCACTGCTTATTAAGGTCCGTCCAAAATTACCGTGGGAAACGGGTAATAATGGTTCTTTGATGGGAACAGGTTGCCGACCCCTGGATAAGATCTGAGCTGGTAAAACAAAAATCCTCATCAGCAGGCGTTTTTGAAAGTGGGGGGGACACAGCTGCCAATCACAAATTTTGCCGGGGACATGTCCCCGGTGTCCCCGGTTAAACTGACGCCTATGGATGCAGAGAAGAGCAAACCATATTTAGTAAAGTGTGAGACTCCTGTGGCAGGATCCATTACATGGGCCAGAACTCTTTTCTGCCAAATTAAACAACCCATGCTTTCCTTCCTGAAAGCAGCACAGATGCTTGGAAGTGAACAACAAAGCTACATGGTGAGTTGTCTTCACTCTGTTAAAGTTCCAATATGGGAAAACATTTATGGTTTTCACAGTTTTTCTGCTCAGGTCAAAATCAAGTATAAGGACACTGCACTGCGGATTAGGGAATATGAGACAAAGAAATATGAGGACTGGCTGAAAGAAATTGAAAACAGCTGGCCACTATTGAAACAGCCTCTGCTGACTATCAGAGAAAACCAAGACCTGGTATGGACCACTCACTGTTACTCATATCAACTTGTTTCCCTCGTGTTTTTTTTATCGGCCGTCAATTGTGCACATTCTCCCACTTAAAAAGATGAGAGAGGTCTGTAATTTTCATCATAGGTGTACCTCAACTATTAGACAAAATGAGAAAGAAAGTTCCAGAAAATCACATTGTCTGATTTTTAAAGAATTTATTTGCAAATTATGGTGGAAAATAAGTATTTGGTCTCCTACAAACAAGCAAGGCTCTCACAGACCTGTAACCTCTTAATGGCACCTGTTGGAACTCGGTATCAGTATAAAAGACACCTGTCCACAACCTCAAAGAGTCACATTCTAAACTTTACCATGGCCAAGACCAAAAAGCTGTCAAAGGACACCAAAACCTGCACCAGGCTGGAAAGTCTGAATGTGCAATAGGTAAGCAGCTTGGTGTGAAGAAACCAACTGTGAGAGCAATTTTTAGAAAGTTGAAGACAAGACCACTGATAATCTCCCACGATCAGGGCTCCACACAAGATCATACCCCATGTGGTCATTATGATCACAAGAACAGTGAGCAAAACTCCCAGAACTACACGGGGGACCCAGTGAATGACCAGCAGAGAGCTGGGACCAAAGTTACGAAGGCTACCAACAGTTAAACACTACGCCATCAGGGACTCAAATCCTGCAGTGCCAGACGTGTCCCTCTGCTTAAACCAGTACATGTGCAGGCCTGTTCTAAGTTTTCTAGAGAACTGTATTGCTACGAGCAAATGTAATGTTAATCTTGTTTGTTTTCGTAAGAATTAATGTTTAAATCTCATTGTTAGAAAAAATGGTACTGTCGCTTTAAGAGGGACTGGATCTCAGACACAGGAAGTTGCATAGGCTATAGAGTGAGGAAATCAGGAAGCAAGCACATGGCACAGAGTGGAGGTTGTTAGTCGAGTCAATCCAGCTGCATCTGCAAACGTCTTCTGCTTTTTGTTAGCATCGTAGGTATGTATTGAAAGTTAAATATATTCTTTGTCATATTAGTTCATTATTTTTGGGAAAATTATATTTTGTAAACATATATTTACACACTGGGAAATAACATTGCCAATTTGGGTTTATAAGGCGGATATATGTGTTAACCCCTTCACTGAAATAAGTCAACAGATAAATACATAATTCATGGCATGTTAAAAATATAAAATATGTAAACTAAAAGTACAAGTTAATGAGTACAGCTGATTTCATTGTTAAACAGTGATTTATTTGATTTCTGTTGAATGTGTTTGTTTAAGAGGAAACAGAACTGATTATAATTTGTATGTTTCAGTTTCACCTTCCTTGCTACGTCAATAAACCTGTGTACAAGGAGTCATCTGTCTGCAGAGTCTTGATGTTCAAGGAGGCGTTTATCTGACTGTCAAGTCATATAGAGCACGTATGATGAGGACAGCACAGTGAAACTACGGCTCTCAGTCCAGCGGGATAACGCAATGTAAGCTGAAAACAAGACTAAATCCCCACACATCATCAGTGGACAACAATTACTCTTCAAGATCGGTAAGACTACACCATGGCAGAGGAGGCGTCTTTAAAGACACGTTCACGAGCCTCATGTTCATCAGTACAATCAAGTGTTTCAGCAACTGGGTCTGCTGCAACAAAGGCAAGAGCAAAGGCTGAAGCTGCTAAGGCACGGCTTGCCTTTGTTGAAAAAGAAGTTAGTCTGCAGCTAGAAAAAGTAAAATTGGAGGCATCTTTAAAGAAACTTAAATATGAGGAAGAGTCAGCAGCAGCTATTGCTGAAGCAGAAGCCCTCGAAGCTGCAGCTGATATTAACAGTGAAAAAAGTGAAAAGCAGAGCTCTAAGTTATGCTTAGATTCTATTCCATTGGACTCTTCAGCACGCACAGAGCAATATGTTGTCAACCAAAATCGGATACGGGAAAATAACTCACAGCCATTTGTTGATCCAACAAAAACCGAACAGATGTCTAATTGTGTTCTGTCTGACCAACTTAAAGTAAATGCTGCACCCTTTCTTCCAAACTGCATTACTACTGCATCCCAATCACAACCCATTGCTCTAGATCCTCCTCCAGTTGGTCGCAAAGAAAGATTTGAGCATGCTAGGATGCAATACGGTAACTGTCGTGATTCCCAATATTGCAGACCTTCAAATACGACACCTTCCTGTCCACAACCTGCACTCACAAATAACGACAGCTCAAACATGAGTGACTTTGTACGATATTTAGCTCGTCGGGAGCTTGTGGCAACAGGTTTATTACAATTTAATGATAAACCACAGAACTACAGAGCCTGGAAACGTTCCTTTCTGTCCGCAACACAGGATTTAAACCTGTCACCGAGTGAAGAAATGGATCTTCTGCTGAAGTGGCTCGGCAAAGAATCAGCACAACATGTGGAACAGATAAGAGCGATACACATCAACTATCCACAAGCAGGACTGGATATGATATGGAACAGACTTGATGAAACCTATGGATCAGCTGAAGCTATAGAAAATGCGTTGTTCAAACGTATTGAAGACTTCCCAAAAATACCTAACAGGGATTCCTATAAGCTAACCAAACTGGGCGATCTTCTAATGGAACTTTCATCTGCCAAAACTGAGGGCAACTTACCTGGTCTGTCTTTCCTCGACACAGCTAGAGGAGTCAACCCAATCGTGCAAAAGCTACCGTTTCGCCTACAGGAGAGGTGGGCAACAGTCGGTGCAACCTACAAACATCTAAATGGGGTCACCTACCCTCCCTTTGCTTATTTTGTTGACTTTGTATGCCAGGAGGCTAGGATCGCCAGTGACCCATGTTTTAACTTCATCTCTCATACAGACGCAACACAGATGAGCAGACCGGCTCCAAGGTCGAACAAGTTTAAGGAAGTATATGTGCACAAGATAGAAATCTCTCCTCAAGCCTACACGTATACTGAAAAAAGATTAAGACCGGATGAATACGACAAAATGTGTCCTATACACAAGAAACCTCACCCTCTGCATAAATGTCGCACATTTAAAGAGAAACCCATCAAGGACCGTATGACATTTCTAAAAGAAAATAACATTTGTTACCGGTGTTGTTCGTCCTCCACACACATTGCCAGGAACTGCAAAATGAAGCTACAATGTGAAGAGTGTAAGAGCGAAAATCACCACACAGCACTGCACCAAGAACCCAGAAAGGGGGTGAACGCCTTACATGAGCATGGCGGGGAGGATGACGAACCAACAGAACAACCAAAGGTAAACTCAAAATGCACCGAAGTCTGTGGTAGCGAATGGACTGATCGTTCTTGCTCCAAAATATGCCTTGTAAAGGTGTACCCAGCTGGCCACAGAGACAAGGCTGTAAAGCTGTATGCCATACTGGATGAACAAAGCAATCGATCACTTGTGAGGTCACATTTTTTTGATGTCTTCAACGACCAGAGCCCAAGCGCTCCATATACACTGAGAACATGTGCTGGGGTTAAGGAGGCAGCTGGGAGAAGAGCTAGTGGCTATGAAGTGGAATCATTAGATGGAAGTGTGCGCATCCCACTACCAAGTCTCATAGAATGTAATGATATTCCTAACAACAGAGAGGAGATTCCCACACCAGAGGTGGCCTTTCACCATCCACACTTGGAGTCGTTGGCTTGTCTTATCCCTGACATCGACCCCCATGCCCAGATCATGTTGCTGCTTGGTCGAGACCTTATTAGAGTTCATAAGGTGCGCAAGCAGGTGAATGGCTCACACAACCTACCTTATGCTCAAAAACTCGACCTAGGGTGGGTTATTGTTGGAAATGTATGTCTAGGAAGTAACCACAAGCCACAATCAATCAACACCTTTTACACCAAAACCATGGAGACAGCACGCCCAACGCTCTTTGAACCTTGCCCCAATGTGTTCAGTGTTAAAGAGAAATATGACAACACACACATTCCGATACATCCTTCGTCCTTATCTGAGATTAAACCAGACTGTGAGGCGGACCATCTTGGTTATGTTGTCTTTAAAGAGACAAAGGAGGACAACCAGCTGGCTCCTTCAATCCAGGATTCCCTTTTTATGGAAATAATGAATGAAGGTCTGCATAAAGATGCAAATAATAGTTGGGTGGCGCCTTTACCCTTTAAACATCCACGACAGCGGCTGCCCAACAATAAGCCTCAGGCATTGAAACGACTCATCTCCCTGAAATACAACTTCAGAAGGAAGCCAGAAATGAAGGAACATTTCATCAACTTCATGGAGAAGATGTTCGAAAAAGGCCATGCAGAAGTAACCCCTCCGATAGTAGATGACAAAGAACAGTGGTACTTACCCATTTTTGGCGTGTACCATCCGAAGAAGCCCGGCCAAATTAGAGTTGTGTTTGACTCGAGTGCTCAGTACGAGGGTGTGTCACTCAATGATGTCCTGCTGTCTGGACCAGACCTGAACAACTCTCTGCTGGGTGTACTTCTGCGGTTTAGAAAGGAAGCAGTTGCCTTCACTGTCGATATAGAACAAATGTTCTACTGCTTCTATGTGAGAGAAGAAGACAGAAACTTCCTGCGTTTCCTGTGGTTCCAAGACAATGACCCTTCTAAAGATGTTGTGGATTGTCGTATGAATGTACATGTCTTTGGAAACAGACCTTCACCAGCAGTGGCTATTCATGGTCTCCATCAGTCTGTCCAAGATCGAGAGTCCAAGGTTGAGCCTGATGTCAAGAACTTTGTCACACGTGATTTTTACGTGGATGACGGTCTTAAATCCATGCCCTCCACCGAAACAGCAGTGAGTCTCCTGAAAAGGACTCAAGAGGTTCTTGCTAAGTCAAACCTCCGACTGCACAAGATAGCCTCAAACAAAAAAGAAGTTATGGAAGTCTTTCCGTCCACTGATCACGCTAATAGCCTCAAAGACCTTGATCTAGATGATGACTCACTGCCGCTGCAACGCAGTCTTGGACTCAACTGGGACCTCCAAGCAGACTGTTTTGTGTTCAATGTCTCAGACAATGTGAAACCATACACTCGGCGGGGTGTATTATCCACTGTTAACAGTCTTTACAATCCTCTTGGATTTGTGGCGCCAGTAACTATCCAAGGAAAGGCTATTCTGCGAGAACTAACCACTGAAAAAGGAGATTGGGACTCACCATTACCAAAAGATATGGAGCAAATCTGGGAGTCATGGAGAGCATCTTTATCACAACTGTCTGGGTTTTCTGTTCCCCGACTATACACACAAACATCGCCTTCAGAAGCTTACAGAAGAGAACTGCATGTCTTCTGTGACGCATCAATCAAGGCTATTGCTGCAGTAGCGTATCTAAGAGTCGTTGATGCACGTGGAAATTGTTGTGTTGGATTTGTGATGGGCAAAGCCAAACTCGCCCCTCGTCCTGAAATGACCACGCCAAGATTAGAACTTTGTGCAGCAGTTCTTGCAGTAGAACTGGCAGATTTATTCTCTACAGAAATGGATCTCCAGCTCCATACTATGTCCTACCATTCAGACAGCAAAGTGGTCCTGGGCTACATTTATAACGAAAACAGGCGGTTCTACGTCTTTGTCAGCAACAGAGTACACCGCATTCGGAAATCATCCCTTCCAAACCAGTGGCACTATGTCCCAACAGACCAAAATCCTGCAGATCATGCTACACGTTCTGTTGTGGCAGGTCACCTAAAGAACACAAACTGGTTGAGTGGCCCAAAATTTCTGGTAAGTCCAGAACCAAGTATCAACAATGACACCTTTGATCTTGTGGACCCGGTTGCAGACCCAGATGTGAGGCCTTGGGTGTCTACCCTGTCTACCACAGTGTCTTCAAAAAACATTGGTAGTGAACGCTTCACCAAGTTCTCTGCATGGAACTCTCTCACTCAGACCATGGCTCGGCTGTTGCACATAGCAAAGATGTTCAGCACAGCGAAAAGGGAGGTCCGATCCTGCAAAGGCTGGCATTGCTGTAAGACAAAGGTAACTGTGAAGGAAATCGACCAAGCTGCAAACGTTATTGTGCGTACGGTGCAGGAGGAAATCTATGCTGAAGAGATCAAGTGCATTCAGAAGTCAGAAAGAATTCCTAAAGGCAGCCCTCTCTACAGACTGGACCCATTCATCGACAAAGATGGACTTCTCAGAGTTGGGGGCCGTCTCGTCCATTCCACTCTTGGGCAAGTCGAAAAGAATCCATTGATCGTCCCTGGGAAACACCATGTTGCAACCTTGATAATAAGACACCATCATGAACAAGTACACCATCAAGGCCGCCATTACACGGAAGGAGCTATTCGGACATCAGGATTTTGGATAATTGGCTGTAAAAGAAGGGTTAGCAGCATCATCAACCAGTGTGTCACCTGTAGACGACTAAGAGCTCCTTTGAGTGTCCAGAAGATGGCAAATCTTCCAACAGATCGTTTGACTACAGATCCTCCGTTCACAAATGTGGGCCTGGATGTGTTCGGGCCGTGGCACATCTGTTCACGTCGTGCAAGAGGTGGCCTGTTACACAGTAAAAGGTGGGCTGTAATATTTACGTGTATGAGTGTAAGAGCTGTTCACATCGAGGTCATCGAGTCACTTGACGCATCAAGCTTCATCAATGCATTGAGGCGTTTTCTTGCAGTGCGAGGGCCAGTCAAGCTCATACGTTCAGACCGTGGCACTAATTTCGTCGGAGCCTGCAAGGAGTTAAATATACCCTCAAACATTGACAACTCAGCGATCAACACTTACCTCTTGAAAGAGGGAATAACCTGGATCTTTAATCCTCCCCATGCTTCCCATCATGGTGGTACATGGGAGAGAATGATTGGCCTGGCAAGAAGAATACTTGACACCATGTTCCTTCAGCTAAAAGATAAACTTACCCATGAAGTGTTGGTGACCTTTATGGCAGAAGTAGCGGCTATCATCAACGCTAGGCCTCTGGTGCCAGTTACACATGACCCTGAAGATTTGTACATGCTCACTCCAGCCACTCTTCTTACTCAAAAGGTAAACGTCCTTCCAGCTCCTGTTGGTGACTTCGGAGTGTCTGACCTCTACAAGTCTCAGTGGCGCCAGGTACAACACTTGTCCAACACTTTCTGGGACAGATGGAAAAAGCAGTATCTGCCCACACTTCAGCCACGCAGGAAATGGCAGTCTACACAACCTAACGTGACAGAAGGAAGTATTGTTCTTTTAAGAAATAACGACCTGGCAAGGAACGAATGGCCCACTGGACTGATAACGAAGACTTTTCCAGGTGAAGATGGAAAAGTGCGGGAAGTTGAAGTGAAGATTGTAAAACCAGGAGGGACTGCACTCTATCGTAGACCTATTACAGAGATAGTAGTTCTCCTTCCGAAAGAGGATTAGTCATACAAACTGTTGAAGTTGTTAGTGACGTGTATACACGCCAGGCGGGGAGTGTATTGCTACGAGCAAATGTAATGTTAATCTTGTTTGTTTTCGTAAGAATTAATGTTTAAATCTCATTGTTAGAAAAAATGGTACTGTCGCTTTAAGAGGGACTGGATCTCAGACACAGGAAGTTGCATAGGCTATAGAGTGAGGAAATCAGGAAGCAAGCACATGGCACAGAGTGGAGGTTGTTAGTCGAGTCAATCCAGCTGCATCTGCAAACGTCTTCTGCTTTTTGTTAGCATCGTAGGTATGTATTGAAAGTTAAATATATTCTTTGTCATATTAGTTCATTATTTTTGGGAAAATTATATTTTGTAAACATATATTTACACACTGGGAAATAACATTGCCAATTTGGGTTTATAAGGCGGATATATGTGTTAACCCCTTCACTGAAATAAGTCAACAGATAAATACATAATTCATGGCATGTTAAAAATATAAAATATGTAAACTAAAAGTACAAGTTAATGAGTACAGCTGATTTCATTGTTAAACAGTGATTTATTTGATTTCTGTTGAATGTGTTTGTTTAAGAGGAAACAGAACTGATTATAATTTGTATGTTTCAGTTTCACCTTCCTTGCTACGTCAATAAACCTGTGTACAAGGAGTCATCTGTCTGCAGAGTCTTGATGTTCAAGGAGGCGTTTATCTGACTGTCAAGTCATATAGAGCACGTATGATGAGGACAGCACAAGAACATTTGAATGAACCAGGAGAGTATTGGGAGAATGTCAAATGGTCAGATGGAACCAAAATAGAACTTTATAGTAAAAACTCTACTCGTCTTGTTTGGTGGAAAAAGAATGCTCAGTTGTATCCAAAGAGCATCATATCTGCTGTAAAGCATGGGGGTGGAAACATCATGCTTTGGGTGTGCTTTTCTGCTAAGGGACCAGGATGAGTGATCTGTGTAAAGGAAAGAATGAATGGGGCAATGCATCGTCAGATTTTGAGTGAAAACCTCCATCCATCAGCAAGGGCATTGAAGATGAAACGTGGCTGAGTCTTTCAGCATGACGATGATCCTAAACACACTGCCTAGCTAATGAAGGACTGCCTTCATAATGGGGATGTAAGAAATTATCGATATGGCATTGTATTGTGATATTTTTTTTCTGCGATATTATAGCAATATTCAAAAGCCGTGTATCAAAAATATTGATATCAGAGTATATCATGATATTTTTTACTGCAATATTACATTGATATTCAAAAGCCTTGTATCTAATTTTTGGAACAATTTCCTTGCAAACTTTTGTGTATTTTCTTTTCTTTTGGTGCAGTTCAAATGCCAACCGCTGGTTAGCAGCAGTGTGCAGTGGGTTTTGTTTCCACCATTGAAATGTAAATCCCTTAATGGAATTTTGTTATGGACCAAACACTTATCTTCCACTGTCATTTGCAAATAAAGTCTTTAAGATTAAGACAGTGGGATTTTCTGGATTATTTGTTCTTCTTTTTGTCTCTCATAATCGAGGTACACCTATGATGAAAGTTACAGGGCTCATCTTGTTAAGTGGGAGAACGTGCATAATCAGTGGCTGACTAAATATTTTTTTGTCCCACTGTATATAAATATCCTAAAACCTCTTTTTGTTATTTAAAGAAAGTTCCAAGACCAGAACAAAGCAAGAAAAGGAACGTGCACTACATAGTAAACTTTCCTCCACAATTAAGGAAAATGATTTCTGAGATAAAGCCCCTCATGTTACTGGACTACTCTGTTCCGAAAAAGGCAGAAGACTTGGCTATGTTGGAACACAGTCTCCTGAGGTGAGTACACTTCCTAAAGCACAGTGTATACTAAATGTTAAACCGTTTATGGTGTCTCTGCTTTCTGCTGCTTTAACCTCATCTTTAGGTCTGCTGATGATCTGAACAACCTTATCGAAGACTTTCACTCATTGGTGGACAGCCTGCGTGAGGAGCATCTCGACATGCTGCTGCCACATATAGAAGTGGTCAAAAAAGAGATGGAATTTGGATTGAAGAAGCTCAACTGGTGTTGCTCAGGTTTGTTACCTTCACAGGATAAGCTATTTGAAGACCATGCAGTGGTTACATTATTCTTTCTGTTAGATTAAAGCACAAACGGTGTTTGGTTTTAGGGATACCTGAGTTCATCAGTCGAGGTGTCCAGGCTGTTTCTAAATTCAAGTCCATCGTCAACCAGATTCACAACAACGAGCGTGCAATTGATTCCAAGCTACAGTCGATAACTCTGTCCAACTTGCTGAAACTGCCAGTATCTGATAAATCTAGAGACTTGCCAGGTAACACGAAATTAAGGAGATATTTACTGGTTCAAAAAATGAAAATCTACCAGTGTAAAATCTTTTTTTTTAAGATATCAAGGACTTCTGTGACTGCATTGAGGGAGAGCAAACCAAGACTCTGAATATTCTCACTAAGAATTATTCTGACATCAGTTTCCTCATCAATGAGACAGAATATGTGATTATGAAAACCAGAAGTGGCAAAGCCAAATGCATGGCTAGTTACTATAAATACTGGGAGTGCAAAGTGTTTGATTCCCTGATAGAGATGCTCCAGAGGTAATCAAATTATGATTTACCCTTGTATGTTTTAGTGTTAAAAACACATTCACACATTTGTTTGTCCTTTTGTGACCTTAAGGAGCATTCAGACGTTCACCAAGGTGCTGATGGGAAACACAGCTGTTTTCAAAGCAAACGTCGTCCTATCTACTGGTATTGTGTTAGAGCCACGAAGTGACGTCATCAACAGGATGATCACGGGGTGCATTGACATGTGTGTAGAGAGCACCAAGGTGAGCTCCTCTGGTGATATTTCTGGAAAGTATGTGCATCTAGCATCAAACTAGTGACTTGATCAGGCACATAATTTTGATTTCAGCGTTTTCCACGTTGGATGCATGGGACCTGCATCAACTGCCCCATACAACTTGTGAATGATGAAGAGGGGTCTAAGAAATTCACATTCTTCTGTGATGTGTCTAAGCATCCTCAGATAAAGCTAAGTCATTTAATGGTGTCCCAAAAGATTGAGGAGCTGCTCCTCTCAGTGAGTCGCAACTTTGAGTACTGGAAACGCTACCAGTTTCTTTGGGGAAAGGACAGATGTCTTGTGACTGGAGAGTTTGCAGCCAAAAATCCATCCTATGCCAAGTATGATGATGAGATGAACGTCTTTGCTATGGCTAAGCAAGATGTGAATCTGGAGCCTCGCTGCAAGACGGAGAGCATGATCCATCTGAACCTATCGCCACTGCTTAACACACTACAGGTGATCGCAGAGTCCTGGATCGATTCACTTGGTTATTTGCTCAACAAATCTGCCAAAAAGAATCTCTTCAACTTTAGAGATGAACTCACGGTACTGAATCATGCTCCTCAGTCAGATGTTCCCAAGCTGAATGTTTCTGGATTTTTAACTTAATATTTGTCTTACACAACAGCAACTCTCTAAAAAGCTGAAGCAAAGCCCAGACACTGTGAACGACCTGAAGTCTGTTCTCAGCACCATCTCAGACATCAGGTACATGTCTGTAGACATGGAAATAAGAATCACTGATATCCAGGAGAGCTACAGAACCCTGGCCATCTATAAAGCTGAGGTACTGTGTTCAATTTGAAGTTGTTACTCAGAGATTGTATTTCTCACCCAGGTAATACCACAGTTCTGTGTGTGCCCTAGGTTGGAGAAGATGAAAAAGAGCTGGTGGCCATTATTGACCAGACATGGAGTGACCTTTACACAGAATCTAGACAAGTGGATCATAGTCTGAAAGATGTCAAGAAGTCATTTGCTGTGGTACAGTTTCAACAAGTCATTCATTAATATCTGAACTGAAAAGAATGTTTCAGAAATACACAGAGCCAACACATCTTTTTGGTTTCTGTTAAGATTACCAAAGAGAAGGTTGAAGAGTTCAGACAGAACGTGTCCATCTTTGCTGAAAGCTTCAACCTGCATGGTCCTGGAGCTGTGGGAGAAGATTTGGATAAAGGTGCCTAAATCAAAACCAGTAAAGGAATGTTTACATGTGAAATGCTGACATTTTCATTGTTGTTGTTTTTTTCCAGGACTGAGCATCATGGACAAATATGAAAAAGACCTTGCCAAGATTGTGGCTGAATGGGAAGAGCTGACTAATGCTGAAAAGCTGTTGGACCTGCCTGTCACTGTGTGCCCAGAGGTCACCAGGATTCAGAAAGACATGAGCGGCTTAAGACAGGCTTATAATGTGTATGAAGCACAGAAGGTGGGAGAATGTTTGAATTTTCCCATCCTCAATTGATTCCACACTTTCTTGCTTGAGTTGGTTCTTTTTTACAGGAAGCAAAAGCAAGATGGTCTGAAACACTGTGGGTAGATTTGGACATCCAGATGTTACAGGACAACATAGAAGGCTTCATCAAAAGCCTGAGACAGCTGCCCAAAGATGTGAGGGCTTTACCTGTTGCTTTTTTTCTGGACGCGAGTATGAACGAGTTCAGAGAATCACTGGCTCTTCTGCTAGACTTGAAGCACGAGGCACTCAGAGACAGGTTTGTCTGGAAAATGAAGAGTTTGAGTTCATTTCTTTTTTAAGGCAAATTTTTATGCCAATTAATTTATTTCACATCATGAGAACATTTGTTGGTTTTTCTTTTATCACGTGGTTACTTTATTATTGTTGTTTTAATTTTATTTTAGGCACTGGGAGGAGCTGATGGAAAGGACTGGCACCAGCTTTGAGATAAACCCTGACAGCTTTACTCTGGAGAACATGCTTGCTATGGAACTGCATAAATATGCAAACGTCATCAGTGACATTGTCACATCTGCTATAAAAGAGCTGAACATCGAGACACAGTAAAAAAATGACTGTGGAATTTACATAAAAACTTTGTAAATGCACAACAGAAATGTTATGTAAACTGGAAAACATGTATTTTCTGTTGTAATCACATTAAATGTTTGGAAATGATTAAACAATATGTTTATGTTATATTTACATTACCATTATGTGAAAATAACTATATCTATTTGTTAAAACAACAAATAAAGGTAAAAAATAAAGCAAAACAATGTAATCCTTTTAACACAACAATTCTGGCAAGATTACATTAAAATATTGTAAAAAACTTTATTTTTGGCCTATTATTTTTAAAATACAATAACAGAAATATGTAAGTCACTTTACAAATTTAAGCTGTACCTATAATTGATTAAATTGTGCCTATTTCCGGTAATAGAATTGTTTTCAGTAAAAAATTAATCAGCATCATGAGAAGTTATCAGCTGCTGGGGTCCTAAGGTAGTGAGATCCTCTCCCACTGGTCAACATTATGATCATGTCACAGAAAATAATAATAATAATAATAATAATGCATAGGTGGATTTATAAAGCACTTTTAACAACTACTAAAGAATGCTGTTCAAATAAGGAGACAACCAGACAAAAACAAAATATAAATGAAATGTTATATATATAATTTTTTTGCTAACCATAACATTTGCATGCATAATGTTAAATTTAGTTTTAAATGGTGATCTACAACTTTTCCTTCTGGTTTTCTGTTTATTGATGAAAAATAAATACTAAAATGAGCACAGTGTGACTATCACAGGCTAAACAACATGAAAGTGCCTCCTCTGAAAGTGGACTTGTACATTTTCTTTTGTTTTTAATACGATTTAGCTGAAGAGCGTCTAATTTTGAATTTGAAAATGTAAAGCTGAGGCTCGTCTCTGATTGGATAAGACGTGAGGGCGGGAGGAGTACGTGCTTCACGTTCACGGTGCGACTGACGTCAATAACGAGCGAACGAGATAGACGCGGGCAAATGAGCTGCGCGAGAGCAAGCAAGCTGGTGTGAGATAGTACGTACGGAGCCCCTAAAGGGACATGGGAGGGGAAAAAACTATTGCGAGATCTCGCAAAACCTTTTGCGAGATCTCGCATTACTTTTGCGAGATCTCGCAAAGTTTCCCATGACAGTGAACCGGAAGATAAACAGACACACAACAACATGGAGGAGCGTCGGACTTCCGGCAAAATGGCGGAGCGGGTGCATCACAAATTCTGAACGCAATCTATTTGTCCCAGTTATTCAACAACCTGACCATCCAGCTATATTCACCAGATATTTCAAGCTTTATATCATTGTGAAATTCACTTTTAAGAAAGAGTTAAGCCATGGAACCGTCTTCAAAACGTGACACGGCCGCTACCCACCACAACTACGCAGCAAAGATGGAAACTTCGGCTGAGAGCCTCAAAAGGAAAGACCCTTTCTCTCCGGCAAAGAACAAAACAACCTCCAAAATGAAGGACCAGACTACAGATGAAGGTACGAAGGCCATCCTTGAAGCGATAAAAAAGCTCACAGATAAAGTGGAGGGCCTCGGCACGCAAATTAGTCACAACTCCAATATGCTAGCTAGCATGGCTAAAGCAGTGGAGTTCAACGCAGCGGAGATCAAAGACTGTAAAACGCGGCTACAAACCATGGAGCGAGAGGTATCAGTCAATAAAAAAGATAACACCATGCTAATGGAAAGTGTCCTGGAGTTAGAGAGGTACAAACGCCGATGGAACCTCAGAGTCAAAGGATTAAAGGAACGTGAAGGAGAAGACACGCGAGATATGATAGCAAACTTGCTGAAAAAAATCTCACCTGAATGGGCTCCGAACATCAACCATATCGTGGATTCTGCTCATCGGCTGGGGAAAAGAGAGGAGAAAAGAACCAGGCATGTCCTCGTCCAGTTCACACAAAGATTACACCGTGACGCGCTGTGGAAGATGACCAAGGATTCCTCCATTTGCAAAGAACTGGGGATCGGATTCATTGAAGACCTCTGCAAAGCTGACAGGGAGGCTCGAATGGCGCTGTGGCCTAAAATTCAACAAGCACGGGCGGCTGGAAAACGAGCGTACTACAGAGGAGGAGACGGTTACATCGATGGTCACAAAATCACGGTCTGAAGAACAGGAAGACTTAAATACGGTCCGGATGGTCCAATAATCCAAAATATTGAAGGGACATTAACATATCCTTTTGTGCCTTTTTGAGCCTTATGTCCTTTTTTTTTTCGCAGACTTATCCAAAAGTCGGTTGAAGTTATTGTTCTCTAGCAGTTGCTAGTTAGTTTAGTTAGTTTAATAATGAATGTTAATCTTTTTTGCATCTCTTTGAATGCTAGGGGTTTAAGAAACATTAATAAGAGAAAATCTATTTTTTTGTTTTGTAAGGGAGAGAAAGCTAACATTATTTTATTACAAGAAACACACTCACAACAGGAGGACGAAAAATTCTGGATTAATCAATGGGGGGATAAAATTCTTTTTGACCACGGCTCCACCAAATCAGCAGGAGTGGCCATTCTATTTTGTAATTCTCCTTGGAAATTAGTAGCTTCTAAATTTAGCAGCAATGGTCACTGGCTAATCTGTGTTTTAAATAGTGATGACCAGTATTGTATTGTGGCTAATATTTATGGTTTTAACAACCCAAATCAAAATAAACTCTTGCTTACAGAACTTTCTAACAATATCACTAATCTAAAACTAACCTACCCAAGTGCAAGTATTATTGTTGGAGGTGATTTTAACATGGTTTATGATGAGCATTTGGATAGATACCCTTCTAGGTGTCAACATAGTTCTCATAATTCCACCTTATCTAATTTCTGTGGCAATCACAGCTTAGTAGATCCCTGGCGCCTGGCAAATCCTAATTTTAAACAATACTCCTGGTTCAAACCAAATAATAACCTAAAATCTAGGATTGACTTCTGGTTAATTTCTGCTTCAGTTACATCTCATGTCTCAGACTGCTGCATGTCAGCAGCTCCTCTGTCTGATCACTCAGTTATAAAGTTGAAATTTGCGCCTCCTGGCGGTGGACTCAGAAATAAAGGCTACTGGAAATTCAATTCTGCATTACTAACTTCTCATGAATACTGTGATGGTATTAAATCTCTAATCACTGAAGTGATGGCTGATAACACTATAGGGTCTTATGTGTCAAAGTGGGAGTTTCTAAAATTCAAATTTCGAGAATTCTCCATCCATTTTGGGAAATCATTTCACAAAAACAATAAACTAGCAGAACTTAATCTAATTAAAGAAATTAATACGTATTGTAATAAGGCATCACCAAATGAAAGTGACAAACAAAAATTATTAACTCTACAAGGTAAGCTTGATGAAATGTATCTAAAAAAAGCAGAAGGAGCCTACATAAGATCCAGAGCTAAATGGATTGAAGATGGTGAAAAAAGCACAGCTTATTTTTGTCAACTAGAAAGAAGAAGGCAAGAAAGAAATTCAATTAAAACATTATTAATTCAAAATCAAATATGTACAGATCCAACTTTAATTACAAAAGAATTGACCTCTTTCTACAGCAAATTATACTCAGCGGCCTTCTCTGAGACTGATTCAAACTTTTTCTTCGATCACATTAAGAAATTTATCCCGAGTATAGATGATGATTTTGCAGAGTTATGCGATGCTGATATTACTATGCTTGAACTAGACAACGCAGTTAAAAACTTAGCCATAAATAAATCCCCCGGTTGTGACGGCCTAACGTCTAATTTCTATCGACACTTTTGGGATCTGTTAAAAAATCCATTTATTCTTATGTTAAAGGAAGCAACTGATACTTTATATTTTCCTCCCACTATGAAACAAGGCCTAATTACTCTGATACCAAAACCCGGTAAAGACTCTAAAATTATAGATAACCTTAGACCCATAACATTATTGAATACTGATTATAAAATTGTAACCTTAGCCTATGCCAATAGATTAAAAAGCAAATTAAACTCAATTATAAGTGATTCCCAATCTGGATTTATGAAAGGTAGATCTATTCACAATAACATTCGTTTGGTGATGGATCTCCTAGACTATAGTCACTTAATTGATGATGACGGTTTTATCTTATTTCTTGATTTTTATAAAGCCTTTGATTCTATTGAACACCCCTTTATCTTTCAATGTTTAAAACAGTTAGGCTTTAGAAACAAATTCTGTGCTACCATTGAATCTCTGTATGATAATGCAACTAGCTCTATTTCATTACCAAATGGAACGTCACCACGATTTGATATTAAAAGAGGGGTTAAACAAGGGTGTCCTATCTCTCCCTTTCTCTTTATAATTGCTACAGAAATGCTTTCTATCTTTATTAAAAATTCAGATATTGCTCCCTTAAATGTTATGGGATTACCTGTAATCATTAGCCAACTTGCAGACGACACAACTATTTTTATGAAACATCTTACAGAGACTCCTAAGATAATAGAAGTTCTTAAGGTGTTTTCCCAGGCCTCCGGACTTAGTCTTAACTTAAAAAAATGTGAGTTAATGCCAATTCATCAAAGTGATTTAACAGAAGCATATAACATTCCTATTAGGTCAACGGTAAAATACTTAGGAATACATATATCCAAAGACCCAACTGAAAGGGAAAACTTGAATATATGGAAAACAATAGCAGAGTGTCAAACTAAACTAAACTCCTGGTTGTTGAGAGACATCAGTTTACTTGGGCGTGTCTTTCTTACTAAAATGGAGAGCATATCTAGATGTATCTACCCCGCATATTCACTGACCATTCCTAACAGAGCCATTAAAAAGATCAACCAAATCAACTTTGATTATATATGGAGGAAAAAAATGCATTACATTAAGAGAGCAGAAATGACCAAAGAATATAAAGATGGTGGACTACAAGCTATAGACTTTGAGATCATGGATGGAACACTGAAAATTAACTGGTTAAAATCCTTCTTTAACAATAAAAGCTTCTGGTATCATATACCCAGGGAAATCTTCAAAAGGTTTGGAGGCATTGACCTTTTGTTAAAATGCGATTTCAATATTAAGAAACTTCCGATTAAATTATCCCAGTTCCACCAACAAGTCCTTTTATATTGGAAGCTTTTATACAACCATAATTTCACTCCACACAACA